AAATATAATAAAAAAAATATATTTAAATTTCTCTTTAGAATTGAATATGGTCAAAAAAATCATTTGTTCCAGTGACTAAAAATATACACCTTTACATCATTCTCATTTTTTCTATTCTGATAAAATATCCTGTTCGTTTTAAATATAATTATTGACTAGCCGTGGCTTCTGAAGGCTTTTTATGTGTAAAATTACTGATGAATATAAAAAAACATAGGTAACATGGACTTACTAGGTAACACAATTAATAAAAACACAAAAGCAAAACAAAAACGAATGGAGCTTAATGTTGTTTCAGACAAAACTAAGTAATATTCTAAAATTTAAAGTTATAGTAATGGAAAACTCATTAAACTCGAACTTTTAAAACTTTCTCGAAAAAACTATGCTAACAGAGCACATTAGCGTAAAAAATACTTTTGACATGATATTCGCTTAACTGTCACAACTGCCATACTGTTTGTAAAAATTAAACGAGCACGGTAACCAAAACCTGTTCTTGATGCCGCCAAACGTCTGTATATTGTCGCCTCAATGAACTTTTTATTGCCCATATTATGGTCCTACATCTGCTCAAGATTTTTCATACCGTCACAACTGTTTGAAAGTCTTAAGTTTTTATCAAAATAATTATTTTTTTAAAAGTCTGTTTGTTGCCTTATGAGGGACTTCTCCGTTTACATCGGTGCCTTCTCCTAAATTGTATTATACGGACTGGTAACCGTAATGGAAAATATTTTTTTAATGTACACCATTAGCGCCAGTCCACGGTCCTCTCTGTAATTTTGAGCCTCACTTTTTTTTTATCTCGGTCCCGCTCCGTGATGGGATTCTGAGCGACTGTCCATCGCGATTCTTATCTCGAAGTGTAATAAGAAGAGACAGACGTTACTTATATTTTATTTAACGTCAGGTTTGATCGAAGTAGTGTGATAAGACCACGGGAGGGGAAGATTTGTTTATGTCATTAATTTTATGTATTCTTTTTGGTTGGAAATTTAATTCTCCAAATGGGCTTCTTCTAAATGCTGTGTTTATTAAAACTGGTTGTTACTTTTTACTTTTTCAGTATGTTCCTAAAGATTTTACTCGGGTTTGCATAATACTCTGCGTTGACTTAAATTTCTGGTCACAAATAATGATTATTGTAATGTATAAAATAAGCCAACCAACAAATCGTTTCTTAAGTGTTGTTGTCCTTCCTTAAGTATTTTCTTCGTATTTATCTTCTACAGTTTTATAGATATAGAGAATCCCGGATGTATCAAATTTCTCAATTTATGGTGTATATAGCTTATTTTAAATTTGAAAAGTTATTCAAGGAATTACGACACAAATACTGATAAAACTAAGTTAGTGAGCAACGATGTCCAATGAATATTATTCGACTGCAATGCATAAGTGATTAAAAACTGTAACCTGTATATTTTAACATCAAAACTTGTCGTATTTAACGCGGAGATCTTTTCAACACACCTCAAGTTAGAATGAAGCCAAGGTTCGGCAGTGAACACTGTACCACGTGATGTTAGCCTGGGTTTTGTGTACTTTGGGTGAAACCGGTCAGTCATAAGGTTTGCGTGACTTGTGAAGCAAAACTTGATTTATCATCCTAATGCCAGCCCATTCATAAGTTTCAAAAAATCAAAAATATTTATTCAGCACTCCGTATAAATATGACAGAAATGTGCTTTTGAGCATTGTTATGCTTGTATAAGGAATTTACAGAACAGGTACAGTGGTTCCTGTTCATATAAATCAATTATTACAATAATATTCGGTTCTGTAAAACAAAATTAAGTATTAAAGAAACGTTGATTATGTTCTATATAGTCTTCTCAATTTGTAAAATAATTATCTGAATAGGAGGTACACAATTAATTTATTTTGCCGTATTTATTTCAATGGAAATTAAAATCAAAGCCTTGTTTTTGGCATTCAATCAACGAACATTGATAATTGATAGTTATTATGTTTCAATGTCAATGCCAATACCAAAATATTTCCTACATCCAATTTATTAACCGTAAAATTGAACACCGAGGTTATGGAACCGTAATTTGCGGAAATCTTTTCTTCGACAACAAACATCAAAAACAGAAAAAAACTGTTCGCCTACTACTGGTTGAAATCGTTACATATCAATATAAAATAACAGTTTACATTGAACGATCTTGCATCTGAATCGTAGACGTAAGCAATTTAGCATAATTGCCAAGTTAAACCAGTCAATCACGTTAGCAATGAAATAAATATGCGCCATTTTAAGAAATTTATGTGAGAACCTGTAGTAGACATCAAAAATTTCAATGAGAATTTTGTAGTTGATGAAATCCAAACCCGGCACTGAGCTTATAATACGAGGGAAGGTCATTATCCCTTTTTTCCTTTTTCATTTTCTATAGAGTAATGATATATTTACGTGAGGCATTCTTTGCATGACTTCAAAGGAATTTCAATAGTCATCATCATTATATCCGAATTCCAACGTAGGTGGTTGTGATTCAATTAGGTTTTTTGTCATGTTCTTTTTAGTTATTATAATTACGCAGATCTCGAAGCGAACAAGGCTTACTATCTAAAGTGAAATCAATAGAGAGGCTTTTAATAGGTTATCAATATGCTAATGGCTAAATAATGTTAAGAAATTCTTAAAGAAGACTTCGATTGTAAATAAGCAAGTTATTTATTCTTTAATATCGAGTATTTCACCTTATCCAAACAACTGCATTTTGAATCCCCTTTTTCTGCGCAACATCTTTTAATATCCTTATCATTAAAGGCCACGTCTTGTTTTATGCTGCTTATTAAAATGTTTTTTAAAATAAATGAATAAAATTGAAACATAATAAACTATACAAGAGGGAAATAAATGTATTTAGTATTGTTTTTTTATTAATACGGAAAGGTTGTATAAGCATGTTTCAAATAACAAACGAGACCTATAATAACTTTTCATGATATCTGTACCTAATTTTCTTTTAGCTGTTTATTGATTATGATAAACGACTTCATTGATGAAATAAAAAGTAATAAATACTTACCATATCTATTGTTCATATAACATTTTCCCAGAAGTTTCGGTTCCTTTGATTGCTTTTATGTTTTTAGTTACTAGTAACTCGATATAGCCGCTGTTAATAATATTAATCGCAGCGATTGGCCACAAAGTGCTTTTAACGTAATTCGATTCGGCCAAACTGGAACTCTTGCGGAACGGAACCAACATGACTTGGTCTTCGTAAATCGTCTTTCTTTTCGCTTTTACGTATCAAAATAAGTTTATAGATATTTAGCGGAGTTCTCGGGATATTGGTGATTTAGTATAGTTCGCGTCACCGTCAGTCAGTCTCGCCTTGAAACATAAGGCTCAAGTTACTGGGATCACGTTCAAGGCGTTTGCTCAGTAAAATAATTGCAATAATAAAAATGGAATCACGTCGGAAACTTCATCAGCTATGTTCTTTGGTTTTATAAATACAAAGAATCCAAAATAAGTGAATAACAAGCTGGTTTGGTTGCAAGAGCATCTCAATCTCATGCACACACGTCTTCTTGACGCCCCAGCATCGCACTATAGCTTTTAGGAGTTCTTTTTTTGCTGCCTCCCGATGCTGGAATGATTTTCCACCACTCATACGTGACCTAAAAACAAAGTATACATTAAAGAAACACTTAAAGGCATACCTCATGTCGTGTTGTGTTGTGGCACGGTCAGTTTCATGCATTTGGTACGATTGGGGATCTACTTGTGTGTCGCGATGTGTTGACACCGGTCTCACTGTAGCCGTGCTAGATATATGATATTTTTTATTCTTTTATTTCTTTTAATATTTAATAATCACTTGCATTTTGTTTGGCGTTCGGACGTCACTAGGCGTTGGCTGAAAATCAGCGCTGCTGTGGTATTGCGAAATTACTACCAAAGCACATAGCTGAGACAGCGGCCCTGCATAGCAGCACCTTAAATTATTTTTCTTGTTTTTCATTTTTCTTTGTCGTTATGTTTTTCTATTCTGTTTTCTTTTTAGTGTATGCTATGTAATCAATAAAATGTTTTCTTTATTTCTTCTTTCCTTACTTTCTTTCAAGTGATCAAAATTATTAAGTTTTAAAAGGTTCTGTAAAAATTAAACAACTTCAATATCCAATATTATGCTTAATGTTAATTTTATACTAAATTTTAAATGTTTGTGAAAGTTTTTGCACTCATGCTAATTATAACGTTTCTGTTATTAATAGTTACCTTTTGTCATTTATATTAGACGTTGGATCAAATATAAAGTATCCGTTTGATCAATTATAAAATCCGGGTTCCCTCTATCTGGCAGAAACTTGTTGTTCCAAGATTCATTTGGCATAACACGCTTGGCATTATGGTCTTTGAATTAATATTTTGAAAGGCATATATTTTTTTTTATATAATCTGTGTTTGTGGTCATTGGTTAAGTTAGGAGAGTGTTGTACCAAAACTTAGCGCGGACTACCTGATATAACAGATAAATATACAAGAAAAAGTTAAATATTTGTATAACAAAAGACGATTCTGACTGTGAACCTTGTGCGATATGATGGTTCTGCTTTATAATGATTGTGGATATTAAATTGATGCCTAAAGTTGATTCTGGTTTAAAAAATTAAAGGTTTAAATTTCTGATAAATAAGTGATATATCATCTCACAAAATGATTTTTTATGAAACGAAGGAGGTGCCATCCCCTGATATGTGTTTGTGACATTAAAAATTCTGCGATTAAAGGTAGACCCATAAAATCCAATCAAAGAAATAGTACAGAATGATTTGCAATTATACGCTTTATAAACATAACTCATACAAGATCTTACTCCGCCCCCCTCCAGACGTTTAATTAAATCTTGATGTTTTATGGTATGAATCATTAAAATGCTCATAGCGCGTTGATAAAATAAAAACATAAACCAGTTATTTTTCAATTTGAACATTAACGCATGACAATAATGTTTATTATTTGTTTGTTTCAGGTATATACATTCTAAAGAAAAACCATTTAAATGTACAGAATGTGGAAAAGGATTCTGTCAGTCCAGGACTTTGGCGGTTCACAAGATCCTTCACATGGAAGAGTCTCCCCACAAATGCCCAGTTTGTAGTCGAAGTTTCAATCAACGCTCAAATTTGAAAACTCACCTTCTGACACACACTGATCATAAGCCGTACAACTGTAATTCTTGCGGCAAAGTATTCAGAAGAAACTGTGACTTGAGACGACATGCATTAACTCATTCGGTTGGTGACGTACCTCCTGGAGATGTCTTAGATGTAGGAGAAGAAGATATCGGCAGACCTGGTTCTCCTATTGAGCCAGGTTACGATGATGAGGACCCTGACATATCTTCTCCAGAACATTCGCCAGTACGTCGAGCACGGTCATCGTCTATTGAAAGTATTGGCCGAGAACAAAGTGAAGAAAGGCCAAGGCGGTCTTCACCTTCACCTGTAGAGCGTACACATTGTCATCACAATGAAAACAGAGACAGAGCCAGCCCCTATACGATGCGTCCTCAACATTCAGATAAACATCGTATGCCATGTGACACATACGAGAAACGACGCTACACCTCTGATGAGATAATTGAAAAAGAAATGCGCTACTCAGATGTATCAGAACCACAAATAAGACACCCTCAGCTGCAAATCCGAAGAGACTTACATCAAGTTCCACCACCAGATCATTCCAAAATTGGTCAAATGACAAGTCCGCCTATTGAACCTGGGCCCTCAAGTGTATATTTGACTCCATACAGAAAGAGGAGTCATCCGCCCGATCTCGGAGATAATATGAGAACTTGTGCTGCAATATATAGAAGTCGTTCACCTGAACCCACAAATTTGACAATGCCTCGTCAGTCACTAGGTAATAGTGACGTGGTGGTCGGTCTACCACCAACTATTATGGGAATCCCATCATACCATAAATTTGGCTTGCCTTTACCACCACCACATCCACAAATAGCTTACGGTCCTGTTGCTCATACATTGCTAGGACCACAACAGACCGTTGCTCAAGATTTAATTGTGAAACACGCGCCTCCTAAAGATACAGCTCCAATTGCTTCTACAAGTGTTACGAGCTGTAAAGAAAGCCCTCAAAGTAACGTGAAGGACCATGAGGAAAATAATTCTATTTATATAGCTAATGGTATAAAAAATATTGTTGGTATACAACCTAATAGTAATCCTAAGCCTGGAAGCAGTCAGTCTAGCGGACCGAAGAAAGGATTTAGTATAGAAGATATAATGCGACGTTAGCGGTAAATGAACAGTTAAATTGAATTTTGTAAAGGGTTTAGTGAGATAATTTGTCTTTTTGTCTCATTACCCACATAATTATAAATTGGTGTAGTTATTAATCCTTTTCGAGAAGTATTATTAGTAAAGTACCTATTCATTAATTGTCATGTAGAATTGTTAGAGGTATGTTTGTACGTATTTGCAATGTGGATTTGGTTTTCGTGAAGATCTCATAAGGTTTGTTTGTGCAGTGTTTTGTTTACCTCCAAATTTTAAAAAAACTAGTTTATCAAAATTTTAAACTTTTTTATTTTTATTTCCTTTGTTATTGTTGGATATGAATGTAATTTAAACAAAACAGTTTGACTTTTATTGAAATCCATCAGTGCTGATAACTTGAAATAACATAAGGTTTAGAATAGTATAGACTGGTTCTTAGTTGTATTGACTGTTATTTATTATGTAGTTATTAGGATATGAACTTTTTTGCAATAAAAATTATATTTCGTTTAGTTATGTATCCATATTCATAAATCGTGATTTAGTATTATTTTTTAGTTTTTTTCGGTGTAATTTAATGTAAATAAATATTTTGATGATTTGTATGTAATAATTTTATAGATGCAGTACGATTTTATAATAAAATAATTGTAATTGTTAATTTATATTGCTGATGAATGTTTTGATATGAAACAATTTTCAAAAACTATTTGGATAGGATGTTATAAAACATGTTCTTGGAAATATAAAGAGATGTGGAATATAGGATATTGTGTCAATGTATGAATTTAAAAAGGGACGTTTGTGTCCTCACACAGTGTTTGCTCATTTATATTAAGCGAACTGCAATGTACAATATTTTCATAATAAATTATAATGAGAATAAGTATTTTTTTATTTCACACAGCCTTTGCCATACCTAAGAAACGAAATAAGTTCGGTTTAAAATAGAAGTGAACTTATAATTTGTGGCGAAAATCCAAATAGAATTTTATATTCGGCAGTATTATCCTACTTTTTGCGCATTTTGTTGCAGTACTAGTCAAAATTATAACTTATTTATTTTTCCATATTTAGTATGAAGTATAGTTAATTTAATGTTAAATTACAGTGCTTACTTTGGGTCTAATGTAATTGGTATGAGCGTTGGAAATATTTATTATTATTTTATTTATACGTTTGAAGAATTAGAAAATAATGATTTATCAACATTAAAAAGTTGGAATAAACTTCTGTTTGTCTATACCACAAGGTAGCAAATAACACTAAGTGTCGCCGCACATGGGCCACACGTCACAGTCACAAACGCCGCCACGAGAAGCTAGAAGCGGCTACTACAGTGGCTGAAGCGCGCGACAGCGGCCGACTAAGGTAAAGGAGAGACGGGTGGGGAATCGCGCGAGTGACGTGTGGCGGTGTTTTGTATCGGCGCATTAAGTGGCTGGTGCGGGCCACAAGAAGCGAGCAACGACGATTTGTAGCGTGTGTGAGTCCATATAAAATGTATGAAAACTACAAGAAATATGCCGGTAGTAGAATTTTGTGGTTTTGGTCGGTGGCCCGTGTGCGGCGACACTAACATCATTCAACTTACTTACTAATAAACGAGGATTACGCTTAAACTAGTTACACTGCGTTTTGTTCATATCACTTAAATGCCATTTGTCATTCGGTGACGAGATAAAAAACATGGAGTAACTAATCCAAGCTTATTCTGGAAGATGTATAGTCAGGGTTAGCTTACAGTACCTATACATTTTTTGAATTTCTTGAAAATAAATTGATGTAACGTGACATTCAAGTGATTTTGGTTTGTAAATCAAAATTGCGTACCTTCCCACTATTTTCTTTTTTTGCCCTGACTATTCATCGAGTGCGTCTTCCTGTTAGATTGTTGCTTTGTTTATTTATTTTATATTAGTAAGGTTTACAGCTGTCAATCACTTATTAAATAAACAAAAAACAATATCTAACGGCTAATTCAAAACCTCCACATATTTCTAGTCGCAGAAGTCTAGTTCACTTAAAATGTGCAAGCCCCGTCTTAACTCACTTCCTCCATGTTTCACCTGCAATTTTTCCCATAGATGAAACATTATGACATCAAATTAGCATAATAAAACAAATCATCATCATCATCAGCCTATTAATGTCCCCACTGCTGGGGTACAGGCCCTTAACTCGAGACCAATGGCTTACCGTGCCTTCCGAAACACGGAGGAGCTCAATATAATAAGTTTTTGGTCACCCATCCAATGACCGGCCATTGCGATCTTCCACGATCGCGCTTACCGCTTGCGCCATCGAACTCCTTATGTATAACGCTAAAGAACTGTTTAAATGTACATTAAATAAATAAATAATACATATTTCCAACGTGAGTGTTGCAATCAATTAACCTAGCCCCAAAGTAAGCACTGTAAGGCTTGTGTTATAGGATACTAGGGTAACGGATAGACTACATATATTAGACTGTACATATATAAATATTATTATATAGAAATACATATTAAACATCCATGACTGGAGTACAAATGCTCGTATTCGTCACACAAACATCTGCCCCCACCGGGTTTCAAACCCGGGACCTCTCCAGTCGGCGACGCCATGAAACCTGGCGTACAAACCACCCCCGGCCACGGAGGTCGTAAAAACTAGTTAATAATTAAATAAATTGCAAAATATTACATTTTATCCAGTCACGCCGGAAGATTTCATAAGGAGAAACAGCAACTAAACGCCAAGCTTCAGGCTTGTCTTCATTTAGTAAAAAGCTATCCGTTGACATTCAATAAGTTTTTCGTAAAGATGTAAACGGGTGGAAGACTAGCTGTAATCGGGTGAGCGTCTAGAGGTAAGCGAATTTTTGATATAATATGTGTGTAGGAATACGTAAACGCTTACGCACCAACTTTAAAATACTCTGGAGTCCAAGAATAGGCTTTTTAAATAAAAACTGTAGCATAAGTAACAACAGTAAAATATTACGGAAGATGAGAATAAAAATTACATAGAAAGAGTCCACGCGGGTGCATGCTCGCGTAGATTTGTTTTAGAGCAGCATGACCAAAACTCCCGTTGTGTAGAGAGTCCTGCCTTTGTCCTATCCTATCTTTGAAGGTCCAGTGGGAACCTGTTTTTTTTATACAATTGCCATTATAGGTATTATAGCCCAATGCGATAATAAATCTTTTTAATTATTAATTGTATTATTAGTACTACAGTATTGATATAATGTAACATAATTATTTATTTATTCCATTATTACTTTAGTAAAGAAAATACTTATTTTAACCATTTCTAAAGCACAACTATTTTAATGTTATGACTTTGAATTCACTCAATCTATACGCAAATATATCAATAACTTCGTGTACTCTATTAATTAGGGTTATTATGCGAGAAATAGGTGCTTTACTTAGTAAGTTGGTTTTGGCTGTGCGCAACATCAGCAATTGCGGACGCCGGCGTCGCCACACGTATCTATCCGTAATATATAACTGTAAATTTTGCAATAGTGGAGGATTTAGGATCATCCCCCTAAAAATTTTACATAGGTAACATGCGAGAGTCAAATCTCTTTTCATTTCCAGCTTGTGATAACCCACCATTCCAAGGACAAACAATGTTGGACACATAAGGGGATAAAAAGGATGCATACAATGTTCTTGATAGGAAGTCGAATAGGTTCTGTGATGTAGGTAAGATCCAATTATGAAGGTACTGAACCTTTGATGGGGGACCTGGGATATCATGTTTTTGTTATAAGGTTGAATAGGTCCTATCGTGTATGTAAGGTTCAATTATGAAGGTCCAGTGGGTACAAGATCGGTAGGAAGAGGGGAGCTGGAACGGAAGACATTGCGGTGAAAGCGGCGGACAAGTTTAAGTGTAAGTTTCTTACCTTACTAATTGTTAGATTTTTATATATGAACAATAAGCTAGCAGGAATTAAAAAACATCCGATTGAGCCCGCTCATAACTTTCCCGGACAGTGCAGACACTAAAATCTTGTAACAGGGGTGGTAATTTCGAAAACTACTTAAAACTGGGATAGTTCCAAGACCAATTCCTTGTGACGTCATTAAGGTATGGAGCTATTAGAATATTATCGGCATGTAACGAAATATATCTATATTATTTCGGATCGCACCCTTCCAATATCGCAATCTTTGATAGTGTGTAAACTTAATGAATATTTGAAGTACAGCTATATAAGAATGCATAAACGCTATAAAGCTAAAGGCATTCCGTTGCAGAAGTAACTAATCTAAACGAGAGAGTCCATTAGGAAATAAGGCCCGAGCTAATCTCCATTCGAGACATAAAGATAAACTGCATTTCTAAAAAGATCTCCCAAACGGCCGTCCACTTTAGCGCGCATCTTTGCATGTAAAAAGGTGTTTCTTTTACGATTGGCATTTTACGACGCGGCCTCTTTCGCGGACACTGAGATTCGCTACTTGGGAGTCGATGCAAATCGCCCGACAGCCGCCGAACGTCGAGAAATAATACAACAAAAAGAAAAAAAACACACACACTCACTCACACAAGCGAAGACATTTTTTTACGAGCAAACCGTCGTTTCTCGATATTTCAATCCGGCCGAAATCGAAGTGAAAGCATCGATTTATAATCGAATCCGCTCGAATTACTTACGTGGCGTGTAAAACGGTAAGATGGTGCGGTTGGTGAGTAATTAATTTCTGTAAATTGAACTACCTAGCGAATAGAACGCGGAACAGATCTTTTGAAGTACTTATCTCGATTTTAAGCATTTCGATTTGGCTTCTGATGTATCGTTTGCTATAACGTTAATAAAAGTAATTCACAGTTTCATTGTGATTTAACATGTGAACGTGAGCTATATTTCTACTATTTTCTGCCCGCAGTTTCGTCTGCGTAGAAAAATTGCTTTCTCATACAAATTACCACCCCCCTTTTCACCCCCTTAAAGAATGATTTCTGGAATAAAAACTCTCCAATGCCCATCTCTGGGACTAAAACTATCTCTATACCAAAATTTCATATAACTCGGTTCTGCGGTTTCAATGTGAAGAGGTAACATACAGACACACTTTCGCATTTATAATATTAGTATAGAATCAAAAAAGACAATAAAATAGAAAAAAAAATCATTTATATTATTTGTAAAATAAAATAAGTACCTAATGTACTACATTTTATAACAATTACTTCATTACTAAACATGACAATAATTCAACGAGATTGCCAATAAAAATGACAATTAAAAAAACGAACTCCTAATTAACAATTTGGTCTTGAAAAGCATATGCCAAAAATATTAATGATAAACTTAAACAAGTTCAATGAATTCCATTTAAGAAAGCTGATTTCTATAAACAATCTTTCCGTAGAGCGCTTGGAGCTTTTGTGTTATAGAGAGATATAAACAGAAAATTATTTGTGTAGCTTACTCAGTTGTTAAAACAGCTCGAGAACTCATAAAAATGAATCGCTCGTAAAGTATCTAATTACTCAGTTACGACCAAAACTTAATGATGACCATACTTTCCAATAGCAAAATAGAAAGAACGAACATCACATGTAGAGTCTAATGCTGTCGCTTAAAATGTTTTGGATTAGATACCTGATTGTATCAATATTAATTGTTAAGACGACTGCCTATTGCGAAAAACAGTGCAAAGTTTTTAAGATTTCCATAAATTCCAAATGACTGAACAGATTTAGATATTTAGAGAATCTTTATTCCATAAACAGACACTGGACTGAGTGTCGCTTTCATGAATTTGTCAAGGAACTCTCAAGAAAGAGAAAAAGTAATTGTGATGTAAATTAGATGGAACTGAGTTGTGTTAATAAATTAACCAACAATTATTTAATAAACTTATGATATCAGCAA